CTCCATCTGCGCCCACTGTTCACGTGCAGGAAACCTCACGGACCAAAGGCCTCGTCAGAGGCACTGCCATCCCTCGTTTCTGCCAGTTGAGTGCGTGTAAAATAGTATCTCATTCTGGTCTTGATTTACATTCCCCTGATTATTAATAAAGTCAAGCATTTTCCTCAGTTTAGTGACCATACAAGTTTCCTTTTCTGAGAATGCTTTCTGTCAATTTTTTTTTTACTAAACTGCTTCTCTTTTTCTTATTGTTTTATAGGAGTTATTTACATCTATTAAATATTAATCCCTTGTTGGTTATATGAGTCACAGATATCTTCCCCTTGCTTGTGGCTTGAATTTTTATTTCTTCTGAGGTGTTTTTTAAAAATAAACAGAAGTAATACAGCTATTAAAGTTTATTTTGATTAATGTTATGAATACTATTACATCAAATGATCCTCTAAAATTGGAATTATGATCAAATCTATTTACTGGTATTCTTTCTGATTTGTATTATTTAAATAGTTATAAACAGTTCTTTTTTGGCATTGGTTTTTATAGTATTCTATTTTTTAAAGTACTTTATTTTATTTTCCGTTCTAGTTGGCATACAATATTACGTTAGTTTCAGGTGTACAACACAATTATTAGACACTTATGTATTTAAGGAGTGATCTCCCCGATGAACCTGGCACCCATCTGACACCACACACAGTTATCACAGTATTATTGACTATATTCTCTATGCTGTACTTGAAATCCCTGTGAATGTTTTGTAACCACCAATATGTACCTAATTTTTTTTTTACTCATTGATTTAAGAGAATGAGGAAAGGAGGGCGGAGAGAGAGACATTGAATTGTTGTTCCACTTATTTATACATTCATTGGTTAATTCTTCTATGTGCCCAGACTGGGGATTGAACCCACAACCTCGGCATATCAGAATAATGCTCTTACCAACTGAGCTACCTGGCCAGGGCAAAAGAATGTTTTCTAAATTCCCAAACACAAACTTTCAATCAATTAGCTTTATATCCAGCCATATCAAAAAAGCTTCAGGCTCAAAACACAAGAGCGTGGTGCCTTCGTAAGAGGAGAAGATATTGAACACACATCTGAAGACAAAAACAGACACTGTTGAGAAGAAACCTCTCTTAGCTGCTTCCATCTTCCCCCTCCCACCAAGCCCTTCCATCTCCCCGTTCTGATGAGCACGGCCGTTCGGGTCACTGCGCCTGTCCTACCACGCGTCCTCCTCCGCTCTGGGTGAGCCAGTGGAATCAGAGCGTTTCTCAGCTTCACTGGACATTCGGAGCTGCCCGGCATGCGTCCAGTTCTGCTTAGAGAGTTACTGTCTGTGCCTTCTTACTGAAATCACCTTATTCAGACTGCTTCAGGAGATGGGGAAAGTTCCTACCTCTGCGGGCTTTTGTTTTCTCACTTTTTAAAAGGAAATCTTTGGGTCATTGCCTTCAGCTACTCCCACGTTTTGCCTCCATAACCATTTCCCCGACTTTTGCATGGTGAAGTTAGGGGAGGCCGCAGCGCTCCCCCGCGCTGCTTCCCCCGCCCCCCCGCCCCCCCCCCCCCCCCCCAGGGATGTCCTATGGGCCTGCTTTCCAAACACTCTGGAAGCCAACCTCCTGCTAAATAACCTTGCCCTTGATGGATTTAGCCCGCCTTGATTTGCCAACTCCAAAATCTGATAGCGTGTAAATTTCTAAAATATCCACCAGAGAGCGTTGTAACCCTGCCTCTGGCGCTAATTTACTGCGGCTCAGCTTCTGTGAACTCCCAGGGGCACACTCCTCTTTCTGTCTAACCCATCCGCGTTTTTCTATCTGATTATTCCTCCTACTAGGAAAGTACAGAGGAAGGAAATCGGTGACCTGAGTAAGGAGGAAGTAGCAGCATGCCCCTATTCTTGCGCCCCTGGCTCCAGGGCCAGATAGTCTCCCCATGCAGGCCTGCTTTCCCTCAAGATGTACGTGACTGATGGCGGATGTGTTATTAGTGAAGTTGATTTGACTGTGCTGGATCTTTGTCAAAGCTCCAGGGAAGTAAGTCGAAGGGTAAAATTGAGTCTTGGGTCGTCATCCAAAACTAAATGGCAGTCCCCTCTTCTTACCAGGCTGGACCCTATCTAGCCTGACTAGTTTGGTTCTTCTGGTTATCACCATCTCTTCCCTCCTCTTCCTCCTCCTCCTCCTCCTCCCTCGCCCTTCACCCTGAGGATGGCTCTTACTGTTTTCTCTCCCCAAGGTTTTTATATTAAAAGTCATGGCTAATATCTCATTAACCTACTCAGAGGACTGGGTGGCTTCATGCTATCAGCACAACTGCTTTATCTTAGAAAAACACAAATGAGCAAACTTTCACAATGAAAACACTTCTATGACCAAGCCTTGCTAACGATACCACATGGCTTCTTGTTGTACATTTAAAAATCAAAGCCAGCATAACTGAACATAAACATACTCTAGCTGGTGGCTATGGAAAGTGCGTGTTTTAAAGCCAGACTGCCTGGGAGTGAATCCTGGACTTGCTATTTTCTAACGACGTGGACTCCGGCAAGTCGCGTAAGCTGTGCGCACTGGTGTCCTCAGCTGTTTGAGGAGGAAAGTAAGAGTATCTACTCCCCCGGCTTGTTGTGAAGATTAGAAGAGTTAATATATATTTACACAATGAGTTACTATAGAAAGTGCTTCAAAATGACACAATACTAGTAAGTGCTCCATACATGTTGACTATTATTACTACCCTTCACCAAACCTTGTGGAAAATTTCTCAAACACAGGCTGACATGTGTTTTATTTTTCTTATGTGGCCAAGTGAGCTCCTCCTAAAGGGAATATTGATACTTTTTTACATGCCTAGGTGATGATGAACCATGTGAGGAGTGTCTGGGTGGCACAAATGTGAGCTGCATCAGCTGGTAATGACCCTGGGTTGCCTGCACCTTGGTAAGAGCGATGCTGTGTTGCTGGTCGCAGCGTCCAGAGAACGCGGAACAGTAAATGACCGCAGGGTGCGCACACTCCATTTGAAAATGGGTTTAGGGTTATTTACAGCGGGGTTGAAAGAGTTTCAGTGTGGCATTGGGCTGCGTGTGAAATGGGATTATGGCTGAGAAAGAAAGGGTTTGAGTGGCATAGCATTGTGGGCAAGACAAGGTCTAGATAAAACCGAGTTTTCGTGCCGATGGACAGCGGCGTGCTGACAACCGTTTGACCATTGTTTCTCCAACAAAAACAAGGAACTCTGACTTGTAGCATTTCATTTGCTGTGGTGTCAATGCTCCCGTAATGGCAGCTTCAAACGACCAGCAAGATAGCATCATAAGCCCCTTAGAAAGGGCTGAGGACGAAGAGTCTGGGGTTGAGTTTGAGCACCTCCACCATTTCTAGGCTTGGTAAAACCAGAAAGGAGACAGAGAAGCTGCCACTAGAGAGAAAGGAGGGAAATCAAGACACTCTGTTGTCGAAAAACCTAGGGAAAGAAAGTGTTAGAAGAAGGAGAGTGGTCAACAGAGTTGACTGTTGTTGAGACATTTAAACAGATTCGCTCACAGAAGCCATTGTGCACCACAGTGCCACTTAGAGCCCTAATGGATCAGACAAGGCATCAACCCAGGTTCACCCACAACCCCTGTGAAGGGGCATCCGTCACCTTGGCCTGCTCAGGTGCCCTTCCCTACCCTGGTAACAGCTTCCCCATTCTGTGGGAAGCAACGCTCCCTCCCCAGTCAGGTGGTTCTAGTCTCAGTGAGGGCTTCCTGCAGAACATGGGCGATCACAGGACCAAGCCAAGCCAATCAGGCGGGTCTTCGGGACTTAGAAGTACCCAAGCAGAGAAAACTTGTGTCCTGGCCTCTGATATCCATAAGCCGGCCCGACGTTGGCTGCTGGTGGCCATATGGGTTCCAGCAATGGAGGAGGCCTGTCTGACGTAGAAGCTGTAGGTAGAAAGGGAGAGAATATTTGACTCCCTGAATCTAGCTAGATCTACTGTTCTTCTCTCCAAAGAGGAGTCAATAAACAGCACTTACTATGTGCCGGCTCTATGATAAACACCATGCAAGTATCGACTCAGTAATCCCAACAACCTTAGGAAGGCACTGCTTGGGTTAGAGATGAGGAAGTTTGCCCAGGGTCTGAGTGTAAGCACTGGGATTTCAGACTGGGCCGGTTCATTCTTGTGTGTGTGTGTGTGTGTGTGTGTGTGTGTGTGTGTGTGTGTGTGTGTGTGGTGTGTGGGGGGGGGCTGTCTTGTGCTTCGTGGGATGTTGAGCAGGATCCTGGCCTCTCTCCAGAGATGCTAGTGGCACACCTTTCCCCTAGTCGTGACAACCAAACGTGTCTGCAGCACACCGGAATGTCCCCAGGGAGGGAGGGTTGCCCCCAGTCGAAAACCACTGTGGCCACGCTACTGCCTCCCACGTTCTCTCTGAATTGCTATTGTTGAGTCACTCAGTTCCTGTGCTAACCACAACTCAGGGTCACCGCATCTGTGTGTCAACTACAAATAACACGGTATTTCTCGCACCCGGGGTCACCTACAGTGCACTGCTACCTAGACCCTGTGTTGTCTAAAACCTCATGTCACCTACCAGTCTGTGTCTTAAGACTTCCTGTCATCCACTGTCCTGTCACTGAGATCTGTGTAAACCAGCACCCAGTGGTCCCTGCCCTCCGCCATCGACCACAGTTTCATGGAGTCAGGGCCACAGAGCTCCCGACAGACATGAGGCACAGAATACGAGTGGAGGCAGGAAGACAGAGACACAGATGCACAACACAAGGCAGGGAGGGGCGGAGAAACCCAGAGAAACAGAGAGACTCACGGAGACAGACAGTAAGAGGCCGGACCCCTACAAGGCCACAGCTGGTTATGCCAAATGGGTCACTAGGGACCCACTGAGGTCCCTCCCCCACCTCTGGATTAGACCTGGATTCTAAGAGTAAGGAGCTTAGACCCAGCGTGACAGCTAATCGCCCACACAAGGCCTCCGTCTAGGTCACCAAGCCCTGGGCAGCCCTATTCACCACGTTTACTCTTCTGCTCCTCCATCAGGTGCTCGCTCCACTGACAAGATTTCATCCCCAACATGCCACAGGGAGAGGCAAGAGGTCAGACCCTCCCAGCTTCCCCTCTAGTTCTGCCACCAGAATGCCAGGAGGAGGCAAGAGACACCCAACAGCATCAGGAGCGCTGGTGAGGGCTGGGGGACGGGGTCTGGACAGTGAGCTCGAGTTTCCCACTTGACTGTCTCAGAAAGGACCGGGCTGAGACCAGAGAAACATCTTCCTCTGAGTTGAGAGATGTGGTGGGGAGTGGATGATCCCTCCTTTTCTGGACCCTCTAATCTGCAGGGCCCCTGGGCGCCACCAATATGAGAGAATCAGGCCTGTGTTTGGGGTCTCTAAAAGACTTTAAAGCAGCCCCACCCCACACCATCCTGGTCTGGCCTGGTTGCCATGGTGATGCCCCAGTTCCTCCAGAGGCGGCAGCTGGTTCTTGAAGTGGGGGTGGTGGGGACAGTGGATTTTTGAGCTGAGGCGGGTTGGGGTGAGAGGTCAGTGTTGTCTGGGAACATTCTTGACCATGGCAGGAGCTGAAAGCCCGTGGTTTGTCTCCACTCCTGCTTCTGTCAGTGCAGGCCCGGCTCTTCCTGCTCCCTTCACCTCCAGGCTCCACGCCCGCTGCCGCCCCCGAGAGCGGCTGTCTCACAGGCTTGGGACAGACAAGCCCTAAACCTGACATGGAGGCTCAGAGGCAAGGACCCCATGTGAGGACCCGGTGGGGGATGGGTAAGGATGGGTGCTGGTCTCTCCGGGCGGAGCAGCTGCGTCACTGAAAGCAGTTGTTGAAGTGCCCAACTTGAGGTGGGTAGCTTTTGAATATAGACATTTAAAGGAATTGAAGGTCACTGCCATTCCTGGAGGTTTCTCTTAACCCCTCTGAGGTTGTGTTTTCTTGTTTATAAAAGAGCATCTCGCTTGTAGGGCCGTTGGGAGGATTCAATGAGAAAATGAGTTAAAGCTAACACCGGATGTGCTCAATAAATAGGAGCTTTTTAAAAGAAAGTGTGCCTAGAGACGAAGGTCGGACACCAGGGACTGGGCCGAGGCGGGCCAGCCCGCGGGCCTGTTCTGCCCTGGAAGCAGTCGTGAGCAACGCTTCTCATTGAGGAAGACGAGGCTGTACAGGGGGCAGCCAGCAACATACACGTTCCCCGAGGGAGCGAGCACGTCACCAGCCACACGGGGAACAGGTGGAAAATCTGTAGTTTCATGCACTGCAATGTAAGCAGTAAAATAAGCTTATTTTCTGTAGTACATTAATAATAACAAGGATCTAGGACAAAAACAAATAAGGACTCTTTTCTTAAATTGAAATATAATGAACGTATAACATTGTGTGAGTTTGAGGTGAACAAGATGCTATTTTTATTATTTTTTTAAAACCCTCACCCAAGGATATGTTTATTAAAATTTTTTGCTCTTTATATTTTTATTCTATTTTTCTATTACCGCTTATACCCTTTCCCACTCCCAGCCACCCACTTCCCCTCTGCAGTCGCCACACGAGTGTCCGGGTCCACGAGTCCTTTTTCTTTTTGCTCCATCTCTCCACCCCCAGCCCCTGTCAGAGCTGTGTCATCTGCTCTCCATCCAGGAGTCTGTCTCTGCTTTGCTTGTTAGTTCAGTTTGTTCATTGGATTCCACACGTGAGTAAATCATTGATATTTGTCTTCCTCTAACTGGCTTATTTCACTTAGCATAATATTCCCCAGGTCCATCCATACTGTGGCAAAAGGTAAAATTTTCTTTTTCTTTGCAGCTGAGTAGAGTTCCATTGTGTAAATGTCCCACAGTTGTTTTATCCACTCATCTACTGATAGACTTGGGCTGCTTCCAAACCTCGGCTATTGTAAATAACGCTGCAATGAACATAGGGGTGCTTATGTTCTTTTGAATTAAGATTTTGGGTTTCTTCTGATAAATTCCCAGAAGTGGGATCACTCAGTTATAAGGTACTTCCATTTTTAATTTTTTGAGGAAACTATACTGCTTTCCACAGTGGCTGAACTAATCTGCATTCCCACCAACAGTGCATTAGGGCTCCCTTTTCTCCACATCCTCACCAGCACTTGTTGTTTGTTGATTTATTGATGATGGCCATTCTGACCAGTGTGAGATGTTATCTCACTGTGGTTTTAATTTACATTTCTGAGATGATTAGTAATGTTGAGCATCTGTTCATGTCTATTGGCCATCTGTATGTCCTCTTTAGAAATGTGTCTATTAAGTCCCTTTGCCTATTTTTTAATTGGATTGGGGATTTTTTTGGTGTTTTTATAAATTCTTTATAAATTTTGGTTATTAACTTCTTATTAGATGTATCAGCAATTACATTCTCCCTTTCAGTACGCTGTCTTTTTATTTGGCTAATGGTTTCCTTTGCTGTGCGAAAACTTTTTAGTTTGTTGTAGTCCCATTTACTGCCTATGTTTTCTTCTAGGATTTTTGTGGTGTCGGTTCTAACATTTGAGTCTTTAATCAATTTTCAGCTTATTCTTGTGTGTGGTGTAGGAAGGTGGTCCAGTTTAATTTTTCTGCATGTATCTGTTCAATTTTCCCAACACCATTTATTGAATAAACTATCTTTAGCCCATTGTATGTGTTTGCTTCCTCTGTCAAATATTAATTGACTATAAAGGTGTGGGTTTGTTTCTGGCCTCTCTCTCTATTCTGTTCCATGAATTTATATTTTCTGTTTTTATTGATCTATGCCAGTACCATGATGTTTTGATTACTATAGCCTTATAGTATAGTTTGATATACTTTGTTTTCTTTCCCAAGATCTTTGTTGCTATTTAAGGCCTTTTGTAGTTCCATATAAGTTTTTGAAATATTTGTTCTAGTTCTGTGAAATATGTTATTGGTATCTTGACAGGAATTTTTAAATTATATTTTATTGATTATACTGTTACAGTAGTCCTAGTTGTCCCCCCTTTGCCCTCCTCCATGCAGCACCCTCCAATCCCTCGGGCAATCTCCCCCACCATTGTTCATGTCCATCGATCATGAGTGTAAGTTCTTTGGCTGCTCCATGTCCTATACTGTACTTTACATCCCCATGGCTAATTCTGTAACTACCTATTTGTACTTCTTAATCCCCTCACCTCTTCACCCATTCCCCTACACCCGTCTCACATATGGCAACCATCAAAATGTTCTCTGTTTCCATGATTCTGTTTATGTTATTCTTGTTTGCTTAGTTTTTTAGCTTCAGTTGCTGTTAGAAATGTATTTTTTGCCATTTTGTTGTTCATAGTTTTGATCTTCTTCTTTTTCTTAAATAAGTCCCTTTAACATTCATGTTATAATGGATTGGTGATAATGAACTCCTTTAGATTTTTCTTGTCTGGAAAGCTCTTTATCTGCCCTTCGATTCTGAATGATAGCTTTGCTGGGTAGAGCAATCCTAGCTATAGGTCTCTGCTTTTCATGGCTTTGAATATATCTTGCCATTCCTTCCTAGCCAGCAAAGTTTCTTTGGAGAAAGCACCTGACAGTCTTATGGGATCTCCCCTGAAGGTAACTAACTTCTTTCCTCTGGCTGCTTTTAAGATTCTCTCTTTATCCTTGGATTGAGCGCGGGCCTGCGAACCACACGATCTCGGTTCGATTCCCAGTCAGGGCACATGCCTGGGTTGCAGGCCGGTTCCCTGCAGGCCAGTTCCCAGCAGGGGACGCACAAAAGGCAACCATACATTGATGTTTCTCTCCCTCTCTCCTTCCCCCCTTCCCCTCTAAAGATAAATAAATAATAAAATATTTTTTAAAAAAAGATTCTCTCTTTATCTTTAACTCTTAGCATTTCAATTATGCTGTGTCTTGGAGTGGGCCTCTTTGCATCCATCTTGTTTGGGACTCACCGTGCATACTGGATTTGCATGTCTATTTCCTTCACCAAATTAGGGAAGTTTTCTTTCATTATTTCTTCAAATAGATTTCCAATTTTTTGCTCTTTCTCTTCCCCTTCTGGCAAACTTAGATGAGAATGTTGGACCTCTTGAAGTTGTCCCAGAGTCTGCTTATACTATGCTCATTTTTTTAAAATATATTTTATTGATTATGCCATTACAGTTGTCCCATTTCTCCCCCTTCATTCCCCTCCACCCTGCACACCCCCTCCCACCCACATCCCCCCAATTCAGTTTATGTCCATGTTTCTTAAGTTCTTTAGCTTCTATGTTTCCCACACTATTCTTGCCCTCCCCCTGTCTATTTTCTCCCCACCGTCTATGCTACTTATTCTCTGTACCTTTCCCCCACCTCTCCTCCTCCCACTCCCCTGTTGCTAACCCTCCATGTGATCTCCATTTCTGTGGTTCCACTCCTGATCTAGCTGTCTGCTTAGTTTGCTTTTGTTTTAGGTGTGGTTGTTAATAACTGTGAGTTTGCTGTCCTTTCACTGTTCATCTTTCTTATCTTCTTTTTCTTAGATAAGTCCCTTTAACATTTCATATAATAAGGGCTTGGTGGTGATAAATTCCTTGAACTTGACCTTATCTAAGAAGCACTTTATCTGCCCTTCCATTCTAAATGAAAGCTTTGCTAAATAAAGCAATCTTGGATGTAGGTCCTTGCCTTTCATGACTTGGAATACTTCTTTCCAGCCCCTTCTTGCCTGTAAGGTCTCTTTTGAGAAATCCGCTGACAGTCTGATGGAAACTCCTTTGTAGGTGACTGTCCCCTTATCTCTTGCTGCTTCTAGGATTCTCTCCTTCATTTTAATCTTAGCTAATGTAATTATGATATGCCTTGGTGTGTTCCTCCTAGGGTACAACTTCTTTGGGACTCTCTGAGCTTCCTGGACTTCCTAGAATTCTGTTTCCTTTGCCGTACTGGGGAAGTTCTCCTTTATTATTTGTTCAAATAACTTTTCCACTTGTTACTCTTCCTCTTCTTCTTCTTCTGGTACCCCTATAATTCAGATGTTGGAAAGTTTAAAGATGTCCTGGAGGTTCCTAAGCCTCTCCTCATTTTTTGAATTCTTGTTTCTTCATTCTTTTCTGTTTGGTTGTTTCTTCTTTCTGGTCCACTCCATTGATCTGAGTCCCAGTTTTCTTCCCATCACTATTGGTTCCCTGTACATTTCCCTTCATTTCACTTAGTGTAGCCTTCATTTTTTCCTCTAATTTGTGACAAAATTCAACCAATTCTGTAAGCACCCTGATCACCATTGTTTTCAACTGTGCATCTGATAGGTTGCCTATATCTTCGTTACCTAGATATATTGGCTCTGGGGCTTTGATCTGGTCTTCTGTTTGATCCTCCACCCCACCCCTGCCTCTGACCACGCCTATTATGTATGAGGGGTGGAGCCTTAGGTGCTGGGGGGGGCAACCCAGTTGCTAGGTTGTGAAGCTGCATGTGGGGGCGGAGTCAGAGAGGAAACAATGGCACTTGCTCCACTCTCTCTCGGATTTCAGTCCCCTGTGCCGCTTCCCACGAGCAGATTGGGCTCTTCTGGTGCTGGTTCCTTGTGTACATTCTAGGACCCTGTGGATCTCTCTAATGAACTCTCCCGTGAGGCTGGGAATATCTCCCTATGGTTTTAGGCTTTATTTTCTGTCGCCGGGGCCCTGGGTTGCACAGTCTGTCCTGCTGCCTGTTTTTCCCTAGTTTATCTGCATGCGAATGTGGGACCATTGTTGGTCCCACGCTGCCTGTGCTCCTGGGTCTGGCAGCCACAGACTTTTCCTGCTGCAGTCCCTCTCCACTGGCCACCGACTCCGCCCCTCTTACCGGTCTGGTTGACTGATTGTTGAACTTCTATACAGTTCAATTTCCTGTCTGTTCTGGTTGTGTTTTTGTTTCTAAATCTTTGTTCTCCTTAATTTTGGTTGTGTGCGAGGCATAGTATTTTCACCTATGCCTCCATCTTGGTCGAAAGTTGATATACTATGCTCATTTTTTTTTATTCTTTTTTCTTCTTGTCATTCTGCATAGTTGCTTTTTGCTTCCTTATATTCCAAGTTATTGATTTGATTCTCAGCTTCACCCACTCTACTGTTGTTTCCCTGTAAATTGTTCTTTATTTCGATAAGTGCATCCTTTGTTTCTGACTGGATCTTTTTTATACTGCTGAGGTCTGCACTAAGTTCCTTGAACATCCTTATAACTAATGTTTTGGACTCTGCATCTGATAGCTTGCTATCTCCATTTCATTTAGCTCTTTTTCTGGAGTTTTGATCTGTCCTTTCATTTGGGCCATGTTTGTTTGCCTATATTTTGGCAGCTTCCCTGTGTGTGTCTCTATATATTAAGTAGACCTCCTTTGACTTCCTGTCTTGATAGTGTGGCCCAATGTAGCAGATGTCCTGTAGGGTCCAGTGGCACAGCCTCCCCTATCACCCAAGCTGGGTACTCATTGTGCACCCTTCATGTGGGCTGAGTACACCCTCCTCTTGTTGTTGAGCTTTGGTTGCTGTTGGCAGATCAATGGGAAGGCTTTACCCAGGCCAGTCAGCTGCCAGGACTGGCTATGACCACCAACCACCATCCTCCATGGAGGATCAGCTGTGCAGGGGCAGAGTGGTGGTGCTTTGACCTGGTCCGTAGCTGTCCACTGGGTGTGCTGGTCCTGGGGTTTCCCCGGTGATGCAGGCCAAGGCCAGCCCCTACCTGTGTTTTGCCTTGGTCTCCCTGCCTGAGCTATAAAGCAATCTGAGATGGTTGCTACTTGTGCTGGGCTTGAAGATTCCCAGGTGAAGCCAAGCTGTGAATCTAGTCTGGCTGCCGCTAGTGTCTGGCCTGGAGCTCACTGAGGCCAGTTGTTGCTTATTTAATAGGAATTAGAAAGTTGTGAAGCATAAGCTAAGACAGGGGTATCAAACTCTTTGTTACCAGGGACCATATCAATCTCACAGTTGCCTTCAAAGGGCCAAATGTAATTTTAAGACTATATAAGTGTAATTACTCCTTAACAGTTAAGCGAGAGCTTGGCACTGCCGCCAGGTAGAAACAAGGTACCAGGCAGGATAAAACAAGGTGGAGGGCCAGATTTGGACTGTGGGCCTTGTGATTGCCACTTGTGAGCTAAGACCAGACAAACATGTAGGAAAGCAGCTTGGATGGACCCGTAAATTGGGTGGGGTGGAATCTCTGGGGATCTCCAAGGTGAGTCACACGGTGTTAGGTTGATGGAGTCACAGATATGGCACCAGCTTGCTGGCTCTGTCGGGGGAAGGCTCAGAAAAATGACAGTGGTCTCTGCTCACCTTGATGCCAGCCACTTCAGTTCCTCCGTAGACGCCACTAGAGTCTTTCAAGCTGCTGCCCCAGTGTTGGAGCTCAGAGAAAGTGAGTCTGAGTAGGCGAGTTCATTTGTGAATTCTGTAAGAGGAACTGCTTGAGGGTCCAGCAGTTTCTCCACCAACTCAATGCCTGCTGGTTTTTGTAGCCAGAAACTGTGCAGATTTACCTTCCTGACACTGGAACCCTGGGCTGTTGGGCCTGGTGTGGGGTTGGGACTCCTCACTCCCGAGATATCCCTCCCAAATTTTTATCCGCCATACAGGTGAGGGACCAGCCCATTCCGTATCTGCACTCCTCCTACCGGCGTGCATGGATGTGGTTTCTTTAATCCGTAGTTGTCAGGCTTCTATTAAACTTGATCTCTGAAGGTTCTTCATGACGGTTGTCATCTCTTTTCGTTGTAATTTTGATGCGGTTGCATTAAGAGGTGACTATGTCCACCTACACTGCCATCTTGACTGGAAGTTCCATTGGGTGGTCTTGCCCTTTGAATAAATATTTTATCTATGCATGATTTAATTCTAGTACTAGCCATTTGGTTCAGGGATAAATATTGAATCACTAAGTTATGAAGATCTTCCAAATATTGACATATTTCATGTTACAATGCAAAAAAACCCCACATGCATTTGTTAATGTCATTACCAATCTCACTAAAATTGAGAAGCTTTCAAACTTACAGTAGCAGATAGAAGTTTTCCAAATTCTTTCATTTTAAAGTTTTAATTTTATCATTGGCAACAAACATGAATAGTTTTTTTCCCCCCTTGAAGTGACAGGCTCACTCCATCCACTTTCCAGAAAATGTATGCCAAACATCCAAGTCTGAATTTTTTTTGTCACTTGTTGTTTTAAGTAAAACTAGTGTTCAGTACAAAAGTGACTTTTGGCTCACAACTCAGCCTCGTAAGTGCTTTTCCTTGAGATAACGATCACTCTTCAGTCAGCAGAAGACATGCTTTATACACACTTCCCATCTGTCACGCAAAGTATAAAGAGATGTACTCAAGGGTTAAAAGCTAATAAAATTAATAATTTTACTGCTTCACCAAGGAAATTTCTAAGTGAACTGGCCCTTTTTCCCCTTCCTTCCCTCCTTCCCTCCTTCCCTGTGGAGGAATCCTGGCAGAAACAATGCAAGAACTGCCAGTACAGTTGGGAGCCACGCCCTGATCCCCCCTGGGTGCCAGCAGCCTTACCCACTGCTGCTCTTGAATCATCAGCACAAGTATCAGCAAAGTGAAAATGGCAAGTAACAGTTTAGTATTAATATGACAATGATTTTTTGCCATGTGGATCCCCTGTAAAGATCTTGGAGATCCCCAGAATCTGTGACTACCATCTAGAGAAAAAATGAGAACTGACCCACTCAAATTAAAGAATTAAAATAGCCACGTTTACTTTCCTTTTTAATGACTTTTCTGAGATATCATGCAAAGGTTTGTAATATGCTTTCAACAAATATCCCATGGAAAAAAATGAAAGCCAACTCCATTTGTGGTACTATTTACTTTTACTTCCCCCCCCCAAAAAAAAAGGCAGGGGAGAGGGGAGAAATAAGAATGGGGCAGGCCCACGGGAGAGCAGCAGGCATTTGCAGTCATCCATCGTGAGTGTCCTGGGGCGCAGACGCAGTCCTGGGACTGCAAATGCAAGGGGTGCTGGGAACTCAGGGCCCTCTGTCACCTCCCCCACGCAGTCCCACCAGCCACACCACACGCCTGCACAGCACACACACACCACACAGGCAGACTAATTTCATACAACATCAGTGGCAAGCCCAACCATGGTTATGCTTGTGCAGTACACGCAGCCACACCGGGGCAACATGGAAATCCCAGCAGTCGATCACTCCACCTCACTGTGCTCAAGACCAATTCACACTCTCGTATAACTGTGAGTCGGAGAGATTCAGTGGCCATACAGCCAGTCACAGTTTCACTCAAACTATCAGTACGGCACATGAAACCTCTGCTGGGTCGCCACGCGGCCACGTGTGTGTGATGTTCACGGGGTGAGGGCATGGGTTCCAGAGACTGGCCAGCCAGCCCGGGTTCGACTTCCAGTTCTCCCACTCGCCGGTTCTGTAATCTCGGGAAAATTATTTCACCTGTCTCGGGCTTCGTTCTAGGAAATGGGAGATAATCCCTGCCTTGTAAACTTCATGTGAGGATGACATAAAATAACCAGACAGGTGACAGCATCTCGTCTGGACAGATGTGCCCCAGGGATCCAGTTGTAACTGCCACGTGTGGCTTTTGTCACCAGAGAATCTCAGGTCTCCACGGTTTCTTTGGGGGTCACTAGAAGAAATCAAGCCAGAAAGGCCAGGATTCTTGGAGAGGATCCCGGAGGCAAGCGCGGACTGGGAAGGGATGGGACTGTGTGTGCCGCTGTGCAGCTTCTGGAAGCCCCGGCGAGGCCCAGGCCATCCGAACGGGCTCTGGGTAAGGTGGGGACCTCCTGGTGAGCATCCTGATCCCGTCTCCTAGGAAGGAAGACGAGTGTTTCCTGTATTCCAGCCCTCCTCTGTGCTTCTTTCACACATATTTAATTCTCACAACAATATTATGGTCGAGTCCCTGCTAATAGTGTTCTCATTGCAGGATATTACAGAAACGAAGATCCCAGCTTACCCCCTATTAAGTGGAAGACCTAGGACATGAGGGTAGGCAGCCTGGCTTCAGAACCATGTTCCTAACCCCTGCTCTACATTGCTCTCCTGGGGACCCTTCCCCTCCCTCCTCCTGGGGCTCTGCCAGGACTCTGATCCCAGCTGTCTGCGCTGGGGCTCAGCCAGCTCCAGCTGACCCTGTCCCTTCTTCCAGCCAGCTCCCTGCCTGCACCCTGAGCCAGCCCATGGTAAGAGGCTTATCAAGCATGTGGGGGGGACAGATAAGTCAGGGCCCTTGCACAAGGCCTTATCCAACCCTGCCATCCCCAGCTGCTGGGAGTTGTGTGGAGGTATCAACAGATGCAGCCCCATCCACCCACCCACCTAGCCCTGCACCACCCACGCCAAAGCTTGGTGTCAGTGCCTGTGATGTCAAAATTCCCTGTGATATCATAATTTGTAGTGACAGAATTCTTCTGTCCCTCCTTCAAGTCTGAAGGGCTTACTTAGGTGAGATTTGGGGAAGTCAAGTCAGACAGGAGCCCCACTCAGGCTCCAGGCCAGCAGACCAGGTTGGGTAGACGGGGCAGAGGGGGTGTCACGGGATTCCCCCCAGGGTAGACAGCTATTTTGGGTGTCTGCTGCCCCACTTACAGCCACCACGCTTCCTGTCTTCCCAACCCAAAAAGGCTTTGGGTCTGACAGGGACAGGGCCTGCGGGAGGAAGCTCTAGGCCTGCTGCCAGCGACTATGGGGACCAGCCCCTCGCTCCCCACAGGGAAGCCTGAGCTCAGAACCTGGGGGTCTGAGAGAAGAGGGGCTTTACATGCCACCCCTTGGAAAAGCGGTGAGGCAGGGAGGGTTTATAAGGATGTCCGGACAGATGGACGTAATCAGACCCACTGTGACAGTCATGCATGTCAGCTTGCTGACACAGTCTATGCTCACAGCCGTGTACCAACACTATCACATGCCAACAGCCACTCATTCTCGCAGCCATGCCCTTGGCCACACAGCAGCCACAGACAGAAACATGTTGACCCCCAGTGAGAGAGCAGCAGTCCCATTGCCACGGGACCCACACAGAAGAGCAGGAGCCCCTTTTCTTTTATGACTGTCTTCCTAGAGATGAGCCCAACTCCAGCACACTCACAGGTGGGGAGTAAACTGGCTCCCACTTCACAGCTCCTGCAACCCTGGGTGGGGCAGGAGCTGGAGGAAAAGCCATCCCTCTCACAGCCCCTCTTGACCTCTCCAGACCCAGAAAGAGAGTTTCAAGGAAGTGGCGCAGCTGGCAACATTAGTGCCAGCCCCAGCTTTAGTGACGGCCACTGCCCAAATAACACCAGTCGCTGGAGGCACTCGGTCCTGTCAGGGCACCGCTTCTTCCCCTCTAGCTTCTTTTCCTGTGAATTGGGACACTGGGCCTCTGCAAGTTGGGTGTTAGGAACCGTGAGTGGCCTAGACATTGGGCACCCTCAGCATGAAGGCCCCTGGGTGATGGGCACTGGGTACTGGGAACTCTGCGTTTGGGTTTTTGACAACGTGGGGAGCTCTGGCACCCTTAACATTGGGACTTCTGGACTTTGGGATCTCTAAGGTATTTAGGTATATGGCCATTGGATGCTTGGATGTCAGGGCTGTCCCCTCAGGCAGGGCCAAAGTCAGCGTTTCCACCTGTGTGCCTGATTTTACCCACAGTCACTGAAGTCCAGCTGGACCCCTGCTGCGGGCCTGGTGGTTGACCTGTGCTGCTTCCCCCGGGTGGCAGGGCCAGGGAAAGCACAACAGGGTGTCCTGAGGGGCACATGGAACCCTGGGGCAGCTCTTGGATCTAGAACCAATCTAACTTGCTCGTTTGCACTGGGACAGGGGAGGGAAGGTGCCAGGCACTGACCACTGTGCTCCAAGTTCAAGAGAGGAAGAACCTGACAGCCAAGCCCAGACAGGCCACTGCCAACCATGTTTTCCAGCTTCTGGGGCTCCAACGAGATGAAGACCACTGGTGAAACTAGGCTGCGACTCAGTGTCCACCCTCCCCCCACTTCTCAGCAGGGCCCCCAGCAACCCTTCTCCCAGGTTCCCAATACTACCAGCTCCTGCAGTGCCCCCCAGAAGGGGCCCACATCTGGCCTCATCCCTATTGGCACCAGACGCACGCCTGCACTGATTCTGAGTTCCAGCAGAGGCCTTGACCCCCTGCAGGTAGAAGACAAATGAGGAAACCAGCCAGCGCTGGGGAGCTGAGGTTGGGTGCCATCCTCCAAGGAAGCAGCACTGGAACTGAGGCCCTGGGACTCTCGGCCCACAGTGGGCAGGGCCCAGCCAGCTGCCGGTTCTCCTGCCGCCCTGCCTCAGACCAGAGCAGGCCAGATATCTGACCCCAGTAGTCCTCCCGTCTGTCCCCAGACTTGATCCTCCCTACTATACATACATGCCCTTCTCACCCCCTGAGCCAGCTGGCTCACAGCCAGCTCTGATCTGGGCTCAGCCCAGACCTGCCTCCCTTGGGGCCTCGTTCTGGTCAGGGAAAAAAACAGCTGCTCCAGTCCCTGGTTTGTAGAGATGGCTTTTCAAACTAGAATCTTTTCTCACAAGCCTCTTGGGATTTAACTCACCGTGCGGTTTCCTGAAACCCTTTCTGGATCACGATGGGCAAAATACAACATCCATAAATATACTTTGTGTTATGTCATCTGTTTGTCTAGCAGAACCCTCATGGGCAGTATCTCTAACTTCCCTAAACATCACAGGGATAATCTCTTCTCCCCACCCCATGGGCTAAAGTGCTAGGCTGCCTCCCTGACCTCAGAGTAATTCCAAACTCTGTCTTCCTCTCTTCCCGGGAAGGCCTCAGACGGCTGGATCCTGAGCACCCCGCCCCCAGCCTGGCCTGAGGGACTACTGGGGTCCTGCTCTGAGTACCCCCAGCCTCCCTTGTACAGTGTCTTGAGGTATAAGGTGGGAAGCCCCACTTTCCCTGGGCTATGACAATTTTTAGAACCTTCACTGACACGCCCTGGTCTCACCACCACCCCTCCTAACCCCAGTCAAGGGGGAAGGAAGCCATCATCCCCCCTCTCGCATTCTCCCTTGTCCCCACTCCACTAAGTGGGAGCTTCTTCCCTGCCTTCCTGTGTGGTGGCCCTTTTTGTCAAGCCTCAGGAGGGAGGGAAAGATCAGAAGCTGAATTTATGTCCTGGCAGGAGAGGCAAGGAGGACTCTGATCAAATCTGCCCAGTCCCCAGAGCTGGGCACAGCCACACACCACCACACACAACTGCTGCGGTGCACACACAGTCACTCTGCCGTAAGATCCACCCACACAGACCCACAGACACAGAAAGCTGCTCGGGCAGAAGTGCACACACATAGACACAGCACCTACAATTCATTCATAGGAGATGATAAATCCCAAACACACCATGCATACTAGATTTGGGGACAAAGTAAAAATGGAAATCTTGCTGATGGGACCAGCCTGTCTTCCCAGATCTGATTAAGGCTCCGACATGAATAGGCTGTCAATTCTAAATAGTAGGGCCCTGGGGACGTCGGTGTTGTGCACAAAGTATGGTCTGTGCCTGACGCCAGCTATCGTCCTCAGTGTCTCAGACTGTAAATTAATAAAGGGGATCTCCCTCGTCAACTGATCTCATGCAAGTCTTGGCGGCTTCTTCTTCTTCTTTACTACTTTATTAATTTATTTCTAGAGAGAGAGAAAGGGAAAGAGAAAGAAGGAAAGAGAAACATTCAGTGCGAGACAAAACAGGGACCTGCTGCCTCTCACACACCCGGAGCCTGTGGACGTGGCCCAAAACCCAGGCACGTGCCCTGACAGGGAATTGAACCAGCGATGTTTGGGTTTGCAGGACGCCCAGGCAGGGTGCGCCACATCTTCCTGAAGGCTGGTTGTCCCCAGGGAACAAATAAAATGTGTTTTCTGGCCAGATAACTGAGGAACAGGCTCAAGGTGCAGAGGGGAGCTTATCTCTCCAGGTGGCCCCTTCCCAAGCAGGCGCCCCTCAGGAAGGGACAACAGTGTTTGTTCTGACTGGCCCTTACCCTCCCCGAAAACTGGGGGGTAAGCATACTGGGAAGCCCCTTTTTATAGCTGCCAACCATTTCTCCCAGAGGCAGCCTGCAGCAACGTAAGTATCACATGTAAGTATCTGTATTTCCTTAGCTCGTCCTCTCCATTTCTCCGGGGAGGAAACTGAGGCTCACCAAACCTCCTTTTGGCAAAGTCTTCCTTAGCTGGTCTGTCTCCCAGGGAGGGAGGAAGGGGCCCAGGTTTGTGTCTGCAGCCCATGTAACACAATAGCCAGAGTAGGGTTGACCAAGCCGGTGGTCAAAGGAGGGTCCCTGGAGAAACGACTACTCCCAAACCTAGTAGGACCCAGGCCTTACCCAGCTGTGCCCACAGTCCCTAGCGGCGCTGCTCCAAAGGGAATGGAATTTGCTCTCACTTCTCTCTAGGGGGAACGCAGGCGCAGAAGGCTGGGGGCCTGGCAGGCTACCTCCAGCCCCAGCCCCCCGAAGTGCTCCAGGCCTTCTGGCTTCATTCCAGCCTAGCCCGGAGGAGACGACATCTGCTTTCTCCAAGGGCCCCAGCTGGAGGGCAGAGAGGCAGGGACGGAGAAGGGGGCTCCTTCGTGGGGCCCCCTCCCAGGGGTTAGAGGGGATCAATCATTTGAAAGCTGGAGCGACTTGTAATTTTATTCCCTGGGAGGAGGAGCCTGAGAAGTCGGCCAGGAAGGGTGGGGATGCAGGGGGCGGGGGGGGGGGAGGGAGAGTTGGGCAGCCAGGGGAGCTGTTCAGGGAGGGGAGGGACTTGGCTAGGTCTCCCAAGCCTTCCCCACTCTCCAAACTTTCACCAAACTCTTGGTCCCCGCCTCCCCGAAACCAAAACACAACAAGCTCTAGAGGATCCGAGAGCAGCGCCGCGGGGCGGGCGGACTCTGGGCGGCACTAAGCCTCGGGAAGCTGATGCAACTTTCCCTTTAAGAAAGCCACCTGGGCGCACCGCGGTGCGGACCCAGCACGCCTGGGCCAGGGGCTGCAGCATGGTAAGGGGGCTGGGGGAAGGGGGCGCTGCAGCCCGCACCTTTGCTGGTCCTGCTGTCGGTCTGGGTGTTTGATGGCTCCTCGGGAGTGAACCCCAGGACCAGTGTGCGCGCGCGTGTATGTGTGTGTGCGTGTGTGAGTGAGAGAGAGAGAAAGAGAGGGAGAGGGAGAGATCGCGCATGCATGCAGGCATCTGTGGCTAAGAGTGTGGGTGCACGCACAGGAATGTCTGTCTCGCCGCTAAGGTCGGGGTAGGTGTGCGCGTCTGGGTGTCACCGCTGTCACCAAGGAGCCGCAGCAGGCAGGAAAGGAGGGGGGCCGCTCCCGGAGTGGGGGCGCTGCGTGCGGACGCCCGTTTGATCGGGGGTGGCGGGCGCAGGGTTGTGCGGGGAACGCTGGAACCAGAGTGTGTCGCGGTTTGTCTGGGCGCCAGTAGATCTGTGTGCCGGGGGGTCTACCGGGGCCGGGAACCGTCGGACAGTGTTTGCGCCCAGCGTGGTAGCTCCCGCTTCTTCTCTTCGCACTGCCGGCCACTCTGGCTGCCTATCTGGCCTCTCCAGCCCGCTCGTCTCCCTATCTGCCTGCCCAAACGCTGGCCCGGTGCTGGTTCCCGCGCGCTCGCCAGTCCCAGAAAGACACGCCAGAGAGTCCGGCGCCCTCTGGCTCTTTGTCCGGGACTCTCGACCATGGCTTTGGAGAAAAGACTACAGCCGTGGAGTTCTTTGCGGGCTGCCACCCTGGGAAGAATCTGTGCCTTCCCCGTTCCAACCTTCATTCTGGGTGCTTGTAGGGCGCGCCCGGGCGGCCACAGGTGAGGGCAGAGGCCTAGCAGCCAGGCTCCCACCCCAACCGGCACCCCGCACCCCGCACCCCGCACCCCGAAGCCAAGGCCAGGAGGGAGAAGAGACGGGGCCAGGGGCCCGGGCCAGACGGGAGGGGGTTTTACCCGGAGGGCCGGGAGGGTGCTGGAGCCCGCCCGGGGGCGGGGCGAGGGGGCGGGTACCTGGGCACCCCGGTACTTTTCCACCGCAGGGGGCGGGGGCGGGACCGCCGCGTCCACAGCAGCTGAGCGGCGCACACGTAGTAGCTGATGTAACGTCCCCCACCCCAACCTCTCACCCCGATTAAAGCAGAAGCGCCACGCTTCGAGGAATAGGGGTGCTCCGGGTGTTGCCGCAGCCCCAAAAGCGACCGCACCCCAGCCGGCAGGCTGGGGACCTCTGCTCAGTCGATGGGCCGCTTCTTAAAGGAGCCGCTCCTGCTTTCGGGCCTGCTCTCTGCAGGCCACACCTCCTGGTTGGTCACCAAATCCCCGGCTCTCTGACAGCTCCCACACAAAGCCTGAGTCTGTTTCTTTGCTGAAACCAGCCTGATGCTGCTGCGGCTGTTAGGGGGTAAAGGTTGGGAGTAAAGGAGTGGGAGATCAAAGACTCCCGAAGTGAGGGACCAACAGAAGGTTGGAGAGTGCAGTGGGTGAGGGGACTGGTTCTAGACAGGGAATAATAGGCGACACTGAGCATGCCCAAATATTTACAAGGACTGCAGAGAAAACGCCCCTTACTTGGCCTATACTGCGACCGCGGCGATACCAATCAGTGCCCAGCCCTAGGGACACGGAAGAATCCACCGCTGCCTCGGAGGTCTCTGTGGCTGCTGGGGCACCAGGTTTGGACACTCACAACTGTGCCTCAACACTGTGTGATCAGAGTGTCAGATATACACAGTGTGCTTTGGAGGTAGAGTGGAAAGATTGCAATTGAGAGGGAGAGAAAAAGGCTCCTTGAAGATAAAGGCACTGGGACATTTTGAAGATGGATAGGACATATACAGATGGAAATGGAGTCACGGACACTCAAGGAAGAGGGAACCACATGAGCAAAAGCATGGAACCAAGAACCCTCGGAATGACGAGTAGTCCCACGTGGCCTCAGGAGGCCCTGGGTGACCAGTCTGGGCTCAAGGCAGACCAAGGTCTCCTCCCCGGGCCCACAGCCCCTGCACTCCCTCCATCACACTGAATGGCGATTACACTTCCTCCGTCTTCTTCTTAAACGTGAGGTCCTTGAAGACGGGGGAAGAGCCTGACT